TATATTGTATACGGTTAGTACAGGGAGGCTTAAAAAATAACACAACAAAATGATAATAAAAGAGAATTGATGGTAATTTATTTTCATCAGGCAAATCATGGAATGGTGATGGGGAGTTAAATTTAACTTATTCAGAATACCCCCAAAGAGCAAGAAAAAGTATATTTCAGTCTCTGTGGAGAAAAGGAAGGTAAAAAGTAGAATGAGAAATTTAAACACTTGGATGGCAAAAGTAATCTGATGAAAAATAAGGAACTGGGTTAACACACGAAGTAACACACAACTAAATTCAAGGATTAAGGGAAGTTTTAAAAAGACATCTCTGTTATATTTGTGTAGATTAAGGGGAAATTATATAATTCCAATCAGGTTCAACTATTTTTATTTCATGCTCACATAACAGAGTCTCTGTATTTCTTAGACCAAATACAGAGAGATGGTCTCCAATTTATGACGGTTCAACTTAAGATTTTTCTGCTTTATGATGGTACAAAAGCAATATGCATTCAGTAGAAATCATACTGCAGATTTTGAATTTTAATATTTTCTGGGCCAGGGGTATGTGGTATGATACTCTGACCTGATGCCGAGGCTGCAGCTCTCAGTCAGCCGCAAGATCAGGAGGGTAAACAACCCATACACTTATGACCATTCTGTTTCCAGACAGCCTTCCTGTTTCTCACTTTCAGTACAGTATTCAATAAATTTCATAACATATTCAACACTTTGTTATAAAATAGGCTTTGTGTTAGTTGATTTTGCCCAACTGTAGGCTAATATAAGTGTTCCAAGCAAGTTTAAGATAGGTGAGGCTAAACTATCATGTTTGGCAGGGTAGGTGTATTAAATGCATTTTTTAAAGATTTATTTATCTTATTTATTTTTATTTTTGGCTACATTGGGTCTTCGTTGCTGTGCGTGGGCTTTCTCTAGTTGTGGCGAGCGGTGGCTACTCTTTGTTGTGCTGCGTGGGCTTCTCATTGTGGTGGCTTCTCTTGTTTCGGAGCACGGGAGCTAGCGCATGGGCTTCAGTAGTTGTGGCACGTGGGCTCAGTAGTTGTGGCTTGCGGGCTCTAGAGCACAGGCTCAGTAGTTGTGGCACGTGGGCTTAGTTGCTCCACGGCATGTGGGATCTTCCCGGACCAGGGCTCAAACCCGTGTCCCCTGCATTGGCAGGTGGATTCTTAACCACTGTGCCACCAGGGAAGTCCCTTAAATGCCTTTTTTGATTTACAATATTTTCAATTTAACGACTGGTTTATCAGGATATAATCCCATTGTAAATTGAGGAAGATTTGTAATTACATTCCAATTTTATTCCTTTTTTAAGATTTTTTTTTTTTTTTTTTGCGGTACGCGGGCCTCTCACTGCTGTGGCCTCTCCTGCCGCAGAGCACAGGCTCCGGACACACAGGCCCAGCGGCCACGGCCCACGGGCCCTGCCTCTCCGTGGCACGCGGGAACCCCCCAGACCGGGGCACGAACCCACGTCCCCTGCATCGGCAGGCGGACTCTCAACCACTGTGCCACCAGGGAAGCCCTAAGATGTTTTTTTGATGTGGACTATTTTTAAAGTCTTTATTGAATTTGTTACAATATTGCTTCTGTTTTATGTTTTGGTTTTTTGGCCGAAAGGCATGTGGGATCTTAGCTCCCTGACCAGGGACCGAACCTGCAGCCCCTGTGTTGGAAGGCAAAGTCTTAACCACTGGACCACCAGGGAAGTCCCTGCATTCCAGTTTTAGAACTCAAATTTTGCAGAAAACATTTCTTAACAGTTTTATATAGGTGTAGTGATTCAATCTGGGGGGGGCTATAGGTGGTGTTGAAGTGATGGTGGGGGTGATGGTGGTGGTATGTGTTTATGTGTGTATACACACCAGAAAAAGAGGAGATTAGCATTGACTGACTGACTGATTCATGGGCTAAGAAAGAAGGGAGAAACAGATGACTCCCGGAAGTACAACCACAAAAAACAGAAATGAGCAGGCTTCCTTCCACATAATTTCTGTTCTTGTATATCCTTATTACCCTGTCATCTACTAATCTCTCTCTAGGTTCCCAGATTCTTTCCTATTATAGGTTTACAGGTATGTATGTATCATAGGGATACAAGAGCAAGGTTATAATCCTTATCACTTAAATAAATCAGAGAAGAAAAAATAGAACAAGTGAGGGCATAGAGAAAATACAGGAGTTGAGAGAAATGATACATATTCTATAGAACTCTTTTGAGGATTCAAGAGATTATATATCTGTATGTATATAACTATATATAACTGAAGATGAATTAAGTTAGTGATTACTTGACATGTTTTTCTTCTTTCATTCTTATTCCAACATCCGAAAAACTTTCAAGTGAAAGAATAAGCCAAAATGTATAGATTTAGTGGTGGCTGACCATAGCTAAATCGAACACAAGGAAGCTATTCAGAAATTATTTCTTTCTGGTACCCCCTCCTCTATTCTCCCATGTACATTGTCCAAACCTCTGTTAGACTGTCATCATGACAATTATTATCTTGTCACCATCGTGCTATTAATATTCTCATTTTCCCTTTTAATTGAATGCATTTAAAATCTCCTTCTTATTACCTCTGTAGGGTGCTTGCTTCTAAAACAGAGCTGGAAAAGTAAAGGTGCATAGTAAATGTTTGGTTAATTGACTTAAATTTCTAGAAAGTAATTTATACCCTGAATATGCTATCCTTCAAAGCATAAGAAATTTATTCTACTGTTATAAGGTGCAGCATATATAATTTTATTAAGTAATAACATTGAGATACACACAGTATTTAATACATTTCTTAAACAATTTATGATTTACCATTTCTTGGGAGATGTGTTATTAATAGATTTGTCACACTCAGAAGATCAGGAGAAAAAGTGGGGTGAAGAGACTTGAAGGAGAAAAGAGAAGTTACAGGACTAAAATTGTGGCTATTATTGGCACATGGACTCTCACCTCTTCACTGAACTCAAAGGACACTCCATTCTCCTGGAGAGTTATATGTAACTCTGGATGGTCAGATAATTACCTGTTAAATAGTGAATGAAAATTGTCAGGGGGTGACTGAAAACTCAAGTCATTTACATTCCTCAGGAGAATTTGCAAAGTAGTTCTGCAGCTCAAAGTAGTTTAAAGGAAAGTGGGTTGAAGGGTCATTGAAGAGAGATGCAACTGATAAAGGTTGATTGGAATTTCTTGTCGTATTAGCCAGCTAATGATGTATTTAAATTATCCTGAAGGCTTTTTCATTATACTTTACTGTTCAGAATTTAACTCTTTTCGTTTGAAAGTCCTAGATAAATTTTTCAGACTCAAAGATGAATAATTCAAATGCTTAGACCTACATACAAGATGAAAAGAGAAGGGTGCTATATTGGCCACAAACTGAGGAAGTCAGTAAGATAAGCCCTTTCTTACAGAAAACTGCTACAGTAGTTATCATTAGGAAAGAGCATAGCATTTGGGTTGAGGGGAATAAGGGGGCTTTATCACTTTACATTGAATTTTTGGAAAGATTTTAGAAGAAATATAGATTATCTTGTAATAAAACATTTTTGAATAGTTTGTTGATGTTTATTATTGCTTAGTAATTTGGGGCTTAGAGTTATAAGTCATAAAATTTATGGGATATATCCTCTAAGAAATTAATCCTGAGACTGTCCTGCAAGACATGAAATAAAATTCAGGTAAGTATTTTTATTCAACGTTCCACAGATATTCTAACATGTATTTCCCATTCCTTATTAATATAGACAATTATTTAAGATTAAGAACATGTTACCAATTCATTTAAAATCATATTTTAGAGCAACTTTTAAATAACCTCTGTTACTTTCCTCACCAATCCTTAACTATTTGTTATAGCATCCTACTTATAATTTTAAAAAATGCATCCTGGTAGACTGTGTCCTACATTGGGACCAGCTACTTGGCACTTAATGAGCCACCATAAATAATACCTCCTAGAAATTATGTGTGTGACTGCCAACTTTTGCAAGATGCTGATTCCATGCTTCCCCTTGGGTTTTATCTTCTTTCACTTAAAGATGTTCTTTCCTTCCAGGTAAATTAGAAGAGATAGAAAGCATGTGTGTGTTTGGAAGTAGAGTATATGGTCTCTGGACCCACAGCATTACCTGGAAATGTATTAGAACTGTCAGTCCTCAGGCCCCACCCCAGACCTGCTGAAAACCTTGGGGGTGGCCCCAGCAATCTGTGTTATCAAGCTTTTCAGGGGATTTTGATGCACACTGGAGTTTGAGAACCGCTGAATTATATTCCATGCTTAGCTTTTCTTTTTCTTCTCCTTTTCTTAAAGAAGATGGCACTTCTCCACTCATCTTAATTTTTTTTCTTCTTTATTTTTTTAATTTTAAATTAGTTAATTTGGGGGGGGGGCTGCATTGGGTCTTTGTTGCTGCGTGCGGGCTTCCTCTAGTTGCGGCGAGCGGGGGCTACTCTTCATTGTAGTGCGCAGGCTTCTCATTGCGTTGGCTTCTCTTGTTCTGGAGCACGGGCTGTAGGCACACAGGCTTCAGTAGTCGTGGCACACGGGCTTAGTTGCTCCGTGGCACGTGGGATCCTCCCAGACCAGGGCTCGAACCCGTGTCCCCTGCATTGGCAGGTGGATTCTTAACCACTGCACCACCAGGGAAATCCTTCTTCTTTTAACAGTTATTAAAAGTCCCAGAGCTACACATAAAACCATTCTCCTCAAATTGATTGTTCATTCAGCCTCAGCCCCTAAGTGCCTCTGTTCTAGAGCCTCAAGAGTCATTTTCTTGAATAGCCTACATCCCTAATGAGGAGAACATTTTGCAAAGTATAGAAATAAAAGATTTCAAAGGACATTTAAGCAGGCCTCATTACAGTATGCATAGTTAACAATACATATCTCATTTTCTGTTTTGAACAGAAAATTAAACTTGAGAGGCTTCAAAAAAGAAGGAGAAGAAATGAAAGGAAGGGGAAGGAGAAAGAGGAGGTAGAGAAGAAGGAGAAGAGGAAGAAGAGGAAGAGGTATTAAAAGAGAAACACTTCCATCTTACTTGAAAAGATTGAAGGAATCAGAATGTTTACTCTAGATTTTAAAAATTAAAATGGTTCGATTGCTTTTTCTCTAAATCTGGAGAAATTGAATAAAATAAATTTAAATCTAGATTTCAAAAGCATGATCAAGTGAGATTTTTTTTTACAAATATTCTTATAGAAATAACTTTTTACTAGTACAGCTTACAGAGTCAGTTTGTAATTGTTACAAATTTTTGAGAAGTGGCTGGAGAGAATCACTTTAATTTTCAAGTAACACACAGCCAGCAAACACCCCTGGAAATATAACTTGGGAGGAAGGAATGCTACCTCTTTAAGAGCACAATGGAAAGTTAGCACCTGCTGAGTGGGAAAAGTTAATCACTGAACTTTTTTAATTCATTTTTTTCTTTCTCTGTAGAAAGAGCCTAAGTAACTTTCTGCTTCTTCCTTCAGCTTATTGCTTGGAAAGGAAAATGTAGACTCCAAAAAAACCTGCAAACTTTGGGGAATGATTTCAGCAATGGGTCCTGAAAGGGCAGCCACAGGTAAGATTCCTCATCTGAGTTCTTGGGCTTTAGTGTAGGTAAGAATCCAACTTTGGACAGTATAAAAATTCTGATTCCAGGTCCCACCTCCCATTAGAGTTGCAAGGTATACCAATTCAGCAAGTCTGGGGCATGGCCCAGTAATCTGCATTTTTAACAAATATACTGAGATGGTTCTGATAAGATGGTAAAAAGTCTACACTTTGAGAAAAACTGGCCATCATCTGATGTTTCCATAGGTCACAGAAATAAGATGTAAGTGTAATTAGATGTAGTAGATGGTGGGTTCGAAATGCTTAAGCCAGGATTTTCAAAAAAATATTTTTCTTGGAACATTAGTTCTGGAATGTCCTGGGATTGGTGCTCTAAAAACAAAGCATTCCATGGTCACATATGTTAAGAAAATGCTGCATTTTAAATCTTCCCTTTGGAAATTTGATTCACGAAGTCCATTAGAACACTAAAATCCCCTGAGAAATTTCTCAATTTACAAACAAGGTTTAGATCTTACTTAATAGTTAAACTTTTTTACAAGGGATTTTTTTTTTCTATATAAAATTTAGTGACATTTCTCCAGAAGAGTTTTTCAATCACACTTGTTGGGAACAGACTGTGTCAAACTGTAAAATTCTATTCTGTTCTTTTGGAAATAGAAAAAATATTTTTTGGTGTTGGATAGTGTCAAAGATAAGCAAAGCTGGACACTAGTTATAGTGGTAAGGACAGATTTTAATCAGTAACATAGTTTTGCAATAGGAAAAAGGATCCAGCAGGAACAAAATTCAACTTTGATTTGTACAGAGGTGACTGAGCATTTTTTTTAAAGATTTATTATTTATTTATTTATTTAATTTATTATTTTTGGCTCCATCGTGGTCTTAGTTGCCGCCTGCGGGATCTTCGTTGAGGCATGCGGGCTTCTCTCTAGTTGTGGCGCACAAGCTCAGTAGTTGTGGTGTGTGGGCATAGTTGCCCTGCGGCATCTTAGTTCCCCAACCAGGGATCGAACACGCGTCCCCTTTATTGTAAGGCAGATTCTTTGCTACTGGACCACCAGGGAAGTCCTGTGACCGAGCATTTTAAAGGGGAGATGAGGGAGTAAGGGGGTGGGCGTGCAGTCAGTGAAGTTTAGAAGTGAAAAATTACAAAATGCTGGGAGGGGTTGGTCCATGAGAAGCCCATCTGGGTTTGCTACCTGGTGCTTATTGAAGTTGGGCTCCCACCCACCACAGAGACTGGGAGACAGGAACCCTATCTTCAGGTGTTGTCTGGAACAAAAAGTAAATTAGTTTAGTAGCCTTGAGTTTTCTCAGGTAGGCATTTCAAGGAGGGCTAGGGATCATCCTAGGGATACAGTCACGAGCTGTTAGAAATTAAGTTAGTATTTGTTCAAGTGTTTGTGTTTCTTTACATGTTTGTTCAAGGCCAAGTTTGAGGCCTAGTGGAGGAGTGGGCTCAGAGGAGCCTGGCTAGATCAAGGAATAAGTCTTTGTCAGAAGTAAGTGGGAAGAAAGTCGAACAATTTTAGGCTCAAAGCCAAATCAGGAAGTTTTCTAACCTACCCATCAAAAACAGAGTCGGATAAGTTCTCCCCACGACATCATCTTGGAGTACCACATAATGCAAAACAGTGGGCACTCTGATGAAAGAACAAAGCTGCATAGTCAGGAAAACATTAACAAAAGCTAATTATAGATTAAGAACAGTAACAGTAATAACTGGTATTTTGAGCAAACATAACTCATAGTGTGTAATGAGAATACTTTTATTGACTGTAATGTTCCATTGACAGTTGATGCAGTTGGGTAAGATTTAACCTGTGCAACTGGAAGACTCTGGAAAGCCTCATGCCTTTTCTGATCACTCTTTAATAGTAGAAGTATTAGACACAGTCACAATTCAGTAATTTGCAAATGATATATCTGAGAAGTGGTTACTATCCAAAGTATCAAAGAACTCATACAGCTCAATACCAAAAAATGCAGCAACCCCATTAAAAAATGGGCACAGGACCTGAATAGACACCTCCCCACCACACACCAAGAAGACATACAGATGGCCAACAGGTACATGAAAATATGCTTAACATCACTAATCATCAGGGAAATGCAAATCAAAATCAGTGAATGGCATCAAAAAGACAGTAAATAGCAAGTATTGGCAAGGATGTGGAGAAAAGGTAACCCTCCTGCACTGTTGGTGGGAATCTAAATTGATACAGCCACGATGGAAAACAGTATGGCAGTTCCGCCCCAAATTAAAAATAGAACTATGACATGATCCATCAATTCCATTACTATGTATTTATCCAAAGAAAATGAAGACACTAGTTCAAAAAAATATAGGCATCCCTATGTTCACTGCAGCATTATTTATAATCGCCAACACATGGAAGCAATGTAAGTGTCCATCAGTGGATGAATGGATAAAGAAGAGGTGGTATACACACACACACACACACACACACACACACACACACACACACACACAAACACATATACAGGAATATTATTCAGCCATAAAAAGAGTAAAATGTTGCCATTTGAGACCACATGGATGGACCTCGAGGGCATTACGCTAAGTGAAACAAGTCAGACAGAGAAAAACCAATACCATATGACCTCTCTTAAATTAAAAAACAAAACAAAACAAAATAAATACCAAGCTTCAGAGAACAGATTGGTGGTTGCCCCCAGGTGAGGTTGGGGGTGAGAGATATGGGGGAAGGGGGTCAAAAGATAAAAAAGAAGAAGTTAAAAACAACAGTTCTCGCTTGGGCAGCACGTATACTGAAATTGGAGCAGCACGGAGCAGGTTAGCATGGGCCCCACACAAGCATGGCGTGCAGATTTGTGAAGTATTACACGTTGAAAAGAAAGGAACAGTGGTTTCCAGGAATTGGAGGAAAAGAGAAATGGGGAGTTATTATTTAATGGGTATAGAGTTTCAGTTTTGCAAGATGGAAGGAGCTCTGGAGATGGATGGTGGTGGTGATGGTTGTACAGCAATATGAATGTATTTATATCGCTGACCTGTACATTTAAAAATGGTTAAAATGATAAATTTTGTTACATATATTTTACCACAATAAAAAAAATAACACCAACAATTTAAAAAAGAAACAAAGAACAAAGTATATACGTATTTGTTTTATCCTCTTTGTCTTGTGAGTGCTTTTCTCGATTTGTTGGGGGCACCTGTGTGACCCCTCTCTGACTGGGGCTTTCAGTCACTTGGCAGTGCTTTCTTTCCCTTTGGTCTTGGTCCTCCTTGGCCCAGCCCCTCTAAGACTTGCTCTGTTGGATTCCCATTGACCTCCCAAGTGAATCCCTTGGATAAAAATCAAAACCACTCTGGTCTTAGTTTCTCCCCCATTTGGCCCACATCAAGTTCACAGAAATCCTCTCTTGTCCTTTAGCTTGTTAAGTTCTGGGGGTGGAGACAGATCTCGAAACAACTACTGCTTTGCTGCCAAAGCAGCTTTCTGGTTTCTCTGGACCCCTAGATTTCCTGGGCACTTGTCAACCAGTCCACTCTGTCTGCCATTCTTCTAACAAGTTTTCCATTTGGCCCTGCAGAAGCTCTGCTTTTTAAACTTGAAATATGGTAGGTGGCACCTCCCTTCCCTTTGGGTGGGTAGGTGGCAGAACTTAAAGCACAGGGCGTGCTCTCTCCCAAGTGGAATTGCCAGATAAAATACAGGATGCCCAGTTACATTTGAATTTCAGATAAACAACAAATACTGTTTTAGTACAGGTATGTCCCATGAAGTATTTCAGGCATATTTATATGAAAAAGTTATTTGTTTTTTATCTGAAATTCAAAGGTAACTGAGTAACTTGTATTTTCACTTGCTAATTCTGACCACCGTACACCCAAGAAACCTCTTCTCATATCTTTCCCTTCCATATCACTCTCCAGTGTTAATATCCTCTAAGAGTGGGTGATAGGTTTTAAAAGATGTGAAACTCATTCTCTGGATTTCTTGACTCACTTTCGTTGAGTACCTTACTGGAGAATTCTCAGTCTATCGCGTGCTGGTGCATCAGCTGGAAGATAATTTAACAACTTCTCACATTATTAGCAGCAGGCATTTTGCAGCGCTTTGGAGATGGCAAACCTTTGTAGAAATACTCTGGATATTCTAAGTAAACTGAGCAGTCACACAGAGAGACTATTTGAAATAGTCATAGGGCTCTGACACAAAGAATTAGTGTCCAAGTAACAGCAGCCTAGCATAAGGACAACATGGTACACAAAGAAGTAAATCAGCAGATGTTAAAATGAAAAAAAAAAAAAAAACGATGAGGATTATAGAGCACACAGGAGCAGAGAGCTCTGTAAGCTAAAAGTTGCTACCATTTCCTTAAGGATAGGAAAATTAAAATTAGTATAAGAACATTGAACATCTACAATTTTTTCATATTAAGGTAATTTAATTTTATTTCCATTATGAATTATCAGTCATTTCTATTAGATCCTTTTTGTTGTTTCATAAAAATACAAGTTGAAAAGCTCCTGCAGGTACTATTATGGATCTATATCTGGACCTGAAAAGAGCAATCTATACCTTCCGGACTGTAGTATTATATGGGCTCGTTTCAGTTGGTGAAATTGTTTAAGGACCTCTGATACCAAATTGAGGTAATATGCTTAGTATGAACTCGCAGAAAGGATCTGACTCCAAGAAAGAATTCTAGTTTTGTTAGAAAATAAGACTCTTTGGGGGATTATGAAAAGATGGTGACCTATACACATAGGTCATTTAATACATCTACCAGTTCTTTAGGGATGGTTTTCGAGAGGTATGATTGCTGGGTGAAAGGGTAAATGCATGTGAAATTTTACTAAATGTTGCCAAATTCTATTCCATAGCTGTTGAAATGTATGAGTGCCTGTTTTCCTATTCTCACAACACAGCATATGGTAAGACTTTGGATTTTAGTCGGTCTTACAATTTGTTCGAGTCTACTTTTGTATATTTATGCTTAAATTATTTA